ATATTTGATACATGTCACATAACAAAAATGATCCTATTTTCACTATAACAAAAGCTCTTTCGATCAATAATAATATGATTTATCAACTTGTAGCTATCTTAAACCTCATTAATATGGAACAATAGTAGTAAGGGAATGGCACTATTTGTGTGAAACCTGGTGGCAGTTTTCTTTATATGCTATTTTGCTCAATGACCACAATTGCGATCATTTGTCTATTGATGTAATCGACCAACCGATTCTGAGTCCTCGACTATCGTTCCTAGGCTGTCTGGTCGACTATCATCGGTCAGGAACCAGGTTTCGTGCTTTCTTACACCAATTCCTTTCTACTATCAACCTAATGCTCGTTTCGATTGTTGTGTTTGTTACATCAGTTATACCTGGATGCTAGAAAACAGTAGACATACCTAGCTAAGGTGAATTACTGTTATTTCTCTCTTGTATTTACATGTTTGTTTGCCTATTTGTAATAACCGAAAGCCAATATGTGTATATTGTCATCACAAATCCATCTATTGTTGTCCATGTAAGTCATAAGTGTCTTTGGTAAAGAGAGAACATGCATTATTCCATTCTCATACAAGATTCACCTATCAATGGCACATTCGAATGGATCAATCCTTCCAAGTTCAGAAATCCATTTATCACTCCCATAACTGTTCTATTCAAACCCAATCAAGTCATGTTCAATAATGTGAACTCAATCAATGTGGTGACAAACACCAATGGTGAAGAGATAACGATCTCGCCTGGTTATTATACACTGACTGATATCATTGCCATTCTGAACACCATGATTAATACTACATTCTCAATTTCCACAATGGATACAAGTTATGAGTGTATTTGGATCCACTCTCCATACTCTATCGATTTCACGAGGTATATATGATATCGAAACGATCATTGCAATGTTGAATGCGAGTGATGCTCTATTTGAAATAGTGTATAGTGGAGAAAATGCATTTCGAATCTATAACCAGTTTGTGATTCTTCCTCTGGCACAACTTATTCATTCCTTGAATAAAGCGATTCATTTATCGAGGTGTGTGTGGAGCATGAATGAGATCAAGGAACTATGGAAACCAGCAAAACGAAGAGGTGCCACTTGAGTGATCATCAGTGGATTCAAGAGAAACATATACTTCATCGATCTTATCGATTTCTCTTCCAAACAACACAAATCCATACAGGAAGTATTAGGAAGACAAAAGAGTACTGGATTCCATAAGAATCGTGGATACAAATATGTCCTTGAATGTATTGATGGATATTCGAAATACCTGATGACTCGGAAACTGAAGAGTAAGAGTGCTATAGAAGTCACTCATGCGATGAAAGATATCATTCAGACATATGGTGAATCACCAAAGCATAGTTGCTCGGATCGAGGCACCGAATTCACCAATGCGATCTTTCGTACCAACATCTTGAACAAGTATGACATCACCATGTATCACATGGATTCAGTGAATAAGGCAGTACTAGCTGATCGAACAATTCGAGATATCAAGGAACACATCATGGTTCCTCCATTCCATATCAATCAATGGAAAGGTGTATGGCTTGATTTGATTGATGGTGCAGTTCGCAGGCACAATGGAAGGAAGAACAGAGACATCGGATATACACCCATTGACATTTGGCTTAACAACAACATCGATATCTTGTACATGGAGAAAACAGAGCCATCCAACATGACAGCAAAGGACACAACACCTCAATTCGATGTGGGTGATTATGTTGGAGTGACACGAAGACCTCACATTCTGGAAATGCGATCATTGACGATCGGTTCATGCCATTGATGTACGAAGTAAAGAATGTGGAAAGCGATAACAGACAGAAGTGTTATGATTGGAAACTGCTGGCAAGCAAATGCAAACCACAGCATAGCACCATCCATCACTCGATTCAAGAGTGGTAAAGAACCCAATGCATTGAGAGAGGCAGCAAGATCACATCGACCCATTACGAGAACCCAGAAGAAACAGAAGAAACAACAACCTCATTCAAGTGTTCGAAAACGATCGTGATGCTCTTCACACCTCTCAGACATACAAGAGAAGGGATATTCGTGAATGCAGAGATCGTATGACTCTCACTTGTCCATTCGATTCCATTTATCAGTTTGGTATGGGAAAGGGTCACAAGATTGTTGAGTGTATCGATGAATGGCACATCGAGCAATCACACACCATCCATTGAAACACTCACCTTGTATCCCTTACCCACAACCGATTCGATGGAATCACAATGATTGAATAGGGCATCATTCTCATTGTAACATGGAATCGATGTAATTATGAGATATAAAGCAGAAGATAATTCGAATTAGCATTGATTATTGAATGGTTGAGTGGATGTGGGTGTATGTTCAAACAGTTTGGCATTATTGACTTTCACAAAACACTCAGAATGTGTTATCCATGAATATTGATGAACACCATCCACTGTCTCACGCACGAGGACATGTTTGCCGTCGTTCTATGGCATGTTGATGAGTATGTTATCGAGCTTCTTGAACGTGTAATTGTTTCCATTGCTGCTGAATATGTACGACATTGATTCAATTTACTTTGGTTGATTTCGTTCATAGGGTTAAATGTATACACTTTTTAAACAATCTCCATTCATATTCGAATATATGAACATGTTGAGTGAGAAATGAGCCAAGTTTAACACCACTGTGGAGAAGAAACTATACAAGCTATTGGCATAATTAACATATTGCAAATTCGTGGAAACTAAACTGAATCGAATGAAAGTGAAGTTCGCCACCACTTGGAATGAATGCGAGGCTATCATTCAGAAGCATTGGTACGATATGATCGCAGGAACCACCACATAATCCGAGAATCTGATCAGTATCAATCGGAATAAAGCGGTGAGAAAAAGTGGTGAAACCATTCCTCATCAGATTTGCCTTCTGGGCATGTCCAAACACATTATATACGATTTCCACTACAATATTATCAAGACGACATTCCATAACGTGGAGCTTTTGGGACAAGACACAGGCTCGCTTATCGTGTAGTTGAATGATCAAGGGAACACCATTCACAAGATGTGTGACATGTACAAGTCATTCGACTACTTGAAGTTGGAAAACACGAGCTATTTCTATGGGCAATTTGTGAACTATTACGATCAGGAGGTGGACAAGAACAAGTTCCCTCCGCTCTCATCATTTCTCAACTTCAAGATGAAGCTGCTGGGACCTATTTTGAAGGATGAATACAGCATCCATCGTATCACCGAGTTTGTAACACTCAGACACAAGATGTACTGTCTTGAGGATGAGAAGAACGTAGTAGAAAATGCAGCAAAGGGAGTTCTTTGTAATGTGGCAATCGATGGTGAGAAAATGAGTGTGAAGAACACCGAGTTGTACAAGCGTGTACTTGAGGCAAAGAGGAAGGGAGATGCAGTAATAGAGGGCAGCTTCAAACGTATCAATAACCAGGAATTGACAATTAGCACAAAGAATCAAACCAAGACACTCATGATATGCGCAGGTAACCAGAGATTGATCTTGGACGACAATGTACATACACTAGAAATCGTGCATTATCGTTTTTGTGACCTATAAAAACGAGTTGTTTCATTGGTCGGAACAATACAGTCATGGAAGTGATAAGGCGTTCCGATACTTGTAAGGGTTGATCCACGAATAAGTACCATTACTTAATAAACCTTGGATGAGCATGCAATAGTACATGGCTTACCTCTTTTTACCATAAACAGCATAGGTTAGCATATTAATATATAGTTAATATTTCACACCAAATTTCTTATAATGAGCAAAAAACTAGTTATCCAATGTCAGCAACAGCAATAGAAACTAAATATTAGGGTCAACAACGAGCTGTTGGTTCGCAACTGACAGGGTCTGAAGAATAACTCTAACCTAATATGGCCCAAAGCATATAAAAACGCGCAATAGGCATCCGTATGAAACAAAAAGCTCACTCATTCATTCACTCGCTCAGTAAATTGATATGATGATAAAAGAAGAAGAGAAATGAAATGAAAAGAATTGAGTGTAATTGAAATGGAGTGTGAGTGAATGAGTGATGATAAGAATGTGATATTTAAATAGGCAATTGAATAATAATAAAATGAGAACGGCCATATCTGATGGAAAGCGCCCTAACCCGTCCGATCTAGGAAGCTAAGTCATCACGAGTCGAGTTAGTACCAGTGTGGGTGACTCGCTGAGAAGTCTCGATGCTGTTCTTTTACTCCAATATTCTATTCTATTCCATCCATTCTATTCTATTTTCCATTTTCCATTTTTACATTCTATTCCACACTCTCATTTTTTCATTCATTCATCATTTTTGGCAATAATTGGCATTCAAATACGATTTCTTCCATTCGATTCTTCCCAATAAATCAAAGTTATTAAAGAGTATAGTGCAATTACTACTCACAAGTTTTCGTCATTCATCGATTGATTACTTTTGTACCTCAGTAATCGTTCGTTAAGACCCAATTTCAGACCTTTTTTATCGAACCCAGCGTCAAAAACTCATTCATTACTAACTCAAACAAGCCAAAGAGAATGCACACAACTAAGAGGCGATCTATAAAACCCTGTTCCCTCAATTCTGCAAGTAACCCCCATAAAACTCAACTGTCGCAAGTACTTCTCAATCTCCCTCACAATCGCTTTCTCCTTCTTCTCTAAGCCTCATTCTACGTTCGTTCGACCTACCCAAAGCCACTTCCACACTCTCCAATTCCACAGGCAAATTCTCAACCAGCATGCGCAGAAGTGCCAGAATCGAGTCCGGCCGTGTCGCATCTGCGTCTGCATGGCAGGGAACGCATAGAGACTTCACGGCCAAATGCGATTGGCAGTCGCGGACACTCCCGAGCTGCATCTTCGGAATGATCTGAGACTCCGAAAATCGGATTCGGACGAGATAGGGATAAAGAGTGTCACAAAAGCTGTTTAGAAATTGGAGAGGATTGGTGAACGCTTTGCCTTTTCATAACAAAATTATAACAAATGTACATTGCAGAGACCAAGTGGAGTACTGCTGAATATCAAACGGCTCCTCAAACAGAATCGCATTGATGTCGTACTCGGGGCCGGATGGAGCGAGATATTGAATCGCATATGGAGGATTCGACTTCGCTTGATCATCGAATGATGTGATTCTTCCTGTGCTGGTGAGGAAGAATAAATGCCCTTCCAGCATGGGAGGCTCGTTGTTGATTATAGAGACAGGGTTTGTTCTCCGTTCCTGCGCAGAATCTCGGATTACAGGTATACGAGGAGGAGGATGAATAGGATTAGCAGCATTATTCGGATTCGCAGCAGGAGGATGAAAAAGATGGGTTGGGCGAGGTAACCTAGAGAGAGATGGATTCTCTGGGAGATTGCGTTGAGCGAGATAAGAAACAGGGACAATCTCAAATTTTGAGTTAGATGGGAAAAAGGATGCGATTTTGTTAGATAAAGTTACTGGCTTGTCTTTAATACAGTCAAAAAGAATATAGTTTGAAATGATAAAGGATTTGGCTACCAGTTTCTAGGGTTGATCGAATGAATCAAAAATACAATCAGGCAGCGCACAAAAAAGTCTTTATAGGTTTCACCTAAGATCCCCTGCATTACACACGACTTGTCCATATATTGTATTTTGGATCTTGTAAGGATCCCTTCACATTTCAACGTAACGGAAGATTCAGAAACTTGCTTATACAGATCCATTCCGAGATTTATGACTTTATTGTTCCATAATACTCTCAGAAAGGACAACTCATAGTGAAAAGTACTCTGAACTATTACATGAACAGAAAAAGTTTACATAGAATTCCTTCTTGAACTGTTTCAAACATTGGCCTTTACCAACAGAGAGCTCAAGAGACTGGTCACGAAATTGTAGAATTACTTTGATCATACGTCATTAATTAATATAAAATGAAACTGAGTACGAATAGAGCAGTACCAATAAATACCCCCGATTTCTTGTCTATTCTTCTGTTTCAGAAAGAAGATGAAATCGTACATATATTTAGTTCTTAGTATAGTCATAACTTTGTCATACGCGTACTATTGCCAAAAGTCGAACCCTTCTGTTTTGGGATATGATTATCCCTTTGTCATGTCGGATTGGTTCCTCCCTGTATTCTATTACGAAATTTCAAATAATGTCTTTAGATAATGGGCAATCTGTGTGTTTCGCTGTTCGTAACTGTATTAGATATATCAAAATCGATTTTCATCGGAGCGATAAGCGATCAAGAGAAACAACACATCGTGGGTACATTTCAGTACGTTTTTTGCTATACACTCACTCCAGGACGGATGCGATTGGCTTGTTCTTTTCTATCGCCTATTTACGCGAGCAATTCACTCTGGAAAACTCATTTTCGATCAGCATCTGGATCTATCTCTCCTGTTGTGCCTATCTCCTCGAAGCCCGTATCAAAACCGTATTTTCTCTCTCTACGCTTTCTCTCCTAGTTCATCACGATGCATCTCTCCCTCATGCGTCGTCTTCGTCTGCTCTGCGGAATCCTGCAACACGCTGCGCTTTCCTTCCTCTGGATGCGTCTCAACATGCTCACCTTCATCCACTACTTCCCCAGACACGCCTCGCTGGACTTCCTTCTCTTCTCTTACGTATTTCCGCCCTTTCCTCCATCATCTCTAGAGCATCATGTTCTTCTGTCGCAGCCTCTATCTCCTCTTCCAGTACGCCTTGATCCCCCTCCGCGACCACAACCTGGTTTCCACGTTTCCACGTTTCTACCGTAGATCAGCGAGCACTCCTTCGCCATCTACGGAATCGCCGGACTTCTCCTTTTCCACGTTTCCTCCGTCGTCAACTACCTCGTTTCCCCCGTTTCTCCGGTTTCCCCTAGTTCTACATCGCGTTGTCGACCGATTCCCAGTCCCTTCTGGACCTTCTCTTCTGCTACCCTTCCTTCGAGCTCCTCGTCGCTCTCTCCGTTTCCACGTTTCCACGTTTCCACGATAGGCGATCCACAAGGGCGTCGTGAGTCTGCGCAGCTACTCCCGCTTCGAATCGCGTCTCGGCCAGCAGTACCGTTCCCCCGCGGTTTCCGACCTGTCACGTGACCCCGACTGCATCATCTGCCGCGACCCGAACGACGCAGCGAGCTCGCTGGTGATGCCGTGCGGGCACGTGTTCCACGCGGACTGTCTGAAGTCGTGGATCATGCAGAAGCAGAGCTGTCCTACCTGCAATAAGTCCCTTCTCGACGAAGAACCGCGGGAGACAGTGGCGGTCGAGGACCCCACCGTGACGGCGGCGGCGGCGGCGGTGCGGGAGATCGCGCGGGTGAACGTGGAGACGCAGCTGCGCGCGCTGGGGTTCGGCGAAGAGGAATTGCCGCGACGCGTGGAGGAACTGATGCAGGAAGCCGACAAGGCGTTCCAGGCGCTGCTGAAGACACCCAATGCGGTCAACGGGGTCAACGGATTGAATTGGGTCAACGGAGTCAACGGGGTTCCTGGACTCAATGGATTGAATGGAGTCAATGGAGTCAATGGAGTCAATGGAGTCAATGGATTGAACGAATTTAATGGATTAAATGGGTTGAACGGACTCAACGGACTCAACGGACTTAACGGACTCAACGGGGCCGTGGGGGCGCAGGAGAATGGCGTGGGGACGGGCGGCGCGCAGGGAGCGACGGGGGCGAAGGCGGCGCAGATGTACAGGCAGGACGATTGGGTGTGTAGGGGAGCGGGGAGCGTGCGATGTAGATGAGCAGCCCGAAGAGGAGGGAGAGCAACGAGGAGAAGAGGAAGAAGAAGTGCAGGAAGAAGAGGAAGAGGAAGAAATCGTGGAGGAATCCGTGGAGTGCGAGGACGAACCCATCGAAGAACCAGCCGTGCAAGCCGAGCCCATCGAACCCATCGAAGCGGAGGAAAACAAAGACAACGATAGCGCAGAGGAGGAGGACGACGACGACGATAGGGAATCGATTCGCGCCAAGCGTCTCCAGTTTTTATCGCGTTCGCAGCCCCCTAACGAAGCATCGTCCCTTTTTCCTGTTTGTTTCTATTTCAATTTCAATTCCAACTCCATTCACTCATCCATTCCAATCTGATTCCAACAAACACACACAAGCTCGTCCACTCATCGCTTACGCAAACTTGAGCAGCAGTTCCGTCTCGGACACAGCAATACCGACCTGGTTGTAGGTGCTCAGCAGCGACTCGTCCGATCGCGAGGTGATGTAGAACGTTCCGAAGGCTCTGTGCGCATAACCCGCAGGACTGAATCCGGTGATGATCATACCGCGATCGTTGCTGTAGTACATGAATCCGGGGATCAGCTTGCTTCCGCGGCGCGACTCCGTGTTGGGCTTCCACAGACCGCCGAACTGCACCTGGTTGCCTCCGGCGAAGGACTTCACCGCCACACCGATGGGGCGCGGGTACACGTACATCGTGTGCAGGTAGGCCTTGCTCTCGCGGTCGCCCACGCACAGCTCCACGATGGCCGTCTTGTAGTTGTCCACCTGGCTCACGCCCACCACGTGCTGCGTGACGCGCTGGTAGCGGTTCCACTGCGACACCACGTACGTGGGGCCGTTCAGACGCATGTCACCCGCGTCGTTGAAGGTCACCATCTGCAGCGAGAGCGCGCCGCCGAGGTTCTGGGTGGCGTACATCACCGCGAAGGTGCGGCGGTTGATGATGGTCATCTTGGTACGCGACTCCTCGATGGCCGAGCCTCCCGTGCTCAGACGCACCGTCGACGCGAACATCACGCCGCCCTGCGGACCGTACGTCACGTCCAGGTTCACGCAGTCGATACCGCCCGACGCCAGACGCGTGTAGCACATCACCGCGCCGTTCTGGTTCATGTTATCCAGCGAGAAGAAGCCGATCGACGACGTGAAGGTCATGTTGCGGAACTCGCCCACGCGGATCGTGGAGCCCTGGATCGACACGTACGCCACGCTGATCGGACCGATGCCTCCGTGCTCCGTGTCGTCCCAGTCCGAGCCCACGGCCGCCACCAGGTAGCCCTGAGGACCGCAGCCAGCCAGACCGTGGTACTGACGCTGCTTCGCGTACTCCACTTCGTTGGTGCGCTCGAACTTGCCGCTCGTCTGCAGGGTGAACACAGCGGTCACCAGCATGTGGTTGCGCTCGAAGGTGCAGGCGATCATGTCCTTGCGGTTGCTATCCTTGAGGTCATCGCAGTGCGGATAGGCGTTGTCGCCATCCTCGGCGAAGCGGAACGCGTTCGAAGCGTCCGTCTCGAAATCGATGTGGAAGGACATCTGCTTGCCGCCCGAGGTGTCGGTGACCTTCACAGTCACGGGCAGGATTTCTCCGCTGCCCACCACAGCCAGGGTGTTGTCACCGATCTTGTACAGGGACTCCACGTTACGAGACTTGCCATTCACCTGAGGAAGAGTGAAAGAAGGGTTGTCGATGGGGATATCATCGTAGCTGATCTCGAAAGCGACCAGCATGCCCTTCGATCCGGTGAAGACAATGTTCTCGTCCCAAGCGCAGACACGGATATCGTCCACGTCCTGGCCGTAACGAATCTCACTGCGAGTCACATTCTGAGAAATGGTGGTTCCAGCGCCAGTGAACACGTAACCATTCTCATCCAAAGACACGACCATTCCGTTTCTCACCTCAGGCTTCTGGTTGAAGTAAGGGAAAGAGAACGTGTACAGGGTCTTCTCAAGATTAGCCTACTTATCAGATGCTCAAATCACCTCTACCTGACGAGCCATGTTCAATCCAATGCAACTGAAAATGAACGCCAGCATGGTCAACAGAATAGCAATATACGCCACAATACGCTTGTAGAGCATTTGGCACTTCGAAGCGCTTCCAACTCCATAGCTTTCTAAGTCGTTACCCTCCATTGTAGTAATTTTTGATGAAAGATACAATGGGTATTGTGTTTACCCAAATTCGAGACTATTTCTGGAACCTGATCAATTTGTGTTTTCTGTGTTTCTCTCTATTTGGATTGTTCAAACAAACACCCAGACATGATCACAGAAGAAATATAACTATAAAGGGAATGCAAACGGCTTTTTAGTCTCTCCGAGAAGGAGGTAACTGGTATTTTACAACTTGGATGTGTGCAGTCGCTAAACGCAAATAGTTGTGAAGCTGTCCATAGTGAATAAAAAGATGACTGCTTTGATTATACACTGGATAGTATTTTAGCCCAGCCACTTCGGCGAGCGCGTTATAATACCGATTCCGCACATTTGTGTACGAAATCACTGCGCTATTTGGAGCGAGATAGACCAAATAGCACAGATGATCTCCAAAAACACTCACAAAGATATCCGTGTCCGCAAGCATCGTCATCACGGCTTGGTCCACTTCTTTATCCAATCCACTTTCAAAATACCACCAATTCTACGCCACTTATACACATCTTCCATGCACATTACCCCATTCTTCTTAAAATACTCGCGAATTTCCTCCATTCCAGCAATTTCTACCCCTTTAGGAACCGCAAACAGCACTCTGGACACATGATAACGTCGTTCGGGGAGCATCACGTTGTAATGCTTGTAAGCAGCGGCTCGAAGCAAGTGCAATTCCTCGGGATGCGCAAACAACCCGCTTTCCCCCGCAAACCCACTCTCACCGACACAGAACAGCGAGGCAAAGCCGAGAGTCGGTTCCTCGGCAAACCAATCAGCAATAGAATCGCGGGAAAGGATCCGAAACGGGAAGACAGAGGGCGTCATCGACTGAACGATCTCGAAAAGCGATCGAACGAATGGCGAGGCCGACGAGAGCGTGAGCTGGGGGATCCAAAGCTGTCGAATCTTGGAGTCATTCGATGTTTTAGTGAATGAAACGAAGGGAGAAAGCGGAGCGTGGCGGAGGAGCTGCGGAACGAGGCTCAGCGATCGAATCGCGGTGGAGGCGTCACGGTTGGCGTCGCGGTTGGCGTCGATCTGGAAGAGAAAGAGACCGGAGGTGTCGATGAATCGGTGGGATGGGAAGGGCTCTTGGTGGAGGTGAAACGTCCAAGGCGAGGAAGGGAAGGCTGCGGGGATGAGGAGAGAAAGAATAGATTACAGAGGAGGAGAGAGCGGAGAGAGGAACAATCTTGGGAACAGTATAAATGGAGGGAAAGAGACGAGAGAGTGACACACACATTGTCCAGACGAAGAATTGTACGCTCTGAAAAGTGGATCTTCTCGATCGAACTCTCCAATTTCGATCTAGCTGTCAAAGAGAGAGATTACAGAAACAAATCTCTGTGAACAACAGGAGGCTGACGCAAAGGACTAGATAGTCATGTTGATTCGAAATTAAAAACACAAAATATTCCTCTTCCAATCGTTTTTGATAACTCATATACCAAGAATCCCTACTTCTCATTCAATCGCTATCCATACCATCCATCCTTGTAGGGTGTTGGTGATTCAATTTGAAAATGGGGTTTGTTTACTAGAATCTCCTCGTGTCTCTGTTTTTCGTGAGGAACACTGGGATTCGCGATCTGATTCGTCTGGGAGGCAATTCGCTTGTTTCTATAGTTGGTACGAAAACAAAGCAAAACGATAGAGAATGGCTAATGAATCCATAGCTGGAGTAGAGGAAAACAACTAACAGTGTCTCAAGTATACACAGGGCCACTCGAACCCGATACACCAGCATGGCTCAGGAAGACGAGGAAATTATTGCTGAATGTTTCCTAATAATACTGTAAATCATTAGTGTGTGAATCCATTGTCTCCACGCCGAAAAGACCCGTTTCACTCATCCGAGCAAAAACTCCGTCAAAGCTCTGTTTACCCCTGTTTTCTTCAATATCTAATAACAGAACTGTATATCTGATCTCCGTTTATTTACATACTACAGATTTTCGGTAATCCCGCGGTAAAACGGGGAAACTAAAACGGAGAACTGTGGAATACAATAGCGAAAGTCATAAAATCCTTGAAAACTTAACAGATGCTGCGCATTGTAAACAGATTCAGTCTTCCTACTCTGAGATCTTTCTCCTCCCGCATTACTATTGACAACATCAACCAGCACATTCGCACTGCTGACTATGCTGTCCGTGGAGAGGTTGTGATTCGCGCTAATGAGATTGACGCCGAGATGAAGAAGGGCAAGAAGTTCCCCTTCGATTCTCTGCTTTACTGCAACGTCGGTAATCCTCAGGCTATTTGCCAGAAGCCCATCACCTTCCTGCGTGAGGTGCTGTGCATCACCTCGTGGCCCGAGGTTGCTGAGAAGCATCCTGAGATGTTCCACCCCGATGCCATCCAGAGAGCCAAGGAGCTGCTGGCTGCCAACCCTGGTGGTTCGGGTGCCTACTCGCAGACTGCTGGAGTGGGTAAGGTTCTGGAGGATGTGGCTGCTTACATTACGAAGCGTGACGGTTTCCCCGCTGATCCCAAGAACATTTTCCTGACGAACGGTGCTTCCCAGGGTATTCAGGACTGCCTGAAACTGCTGATTGACAAGCCTACGGATTGCATTCTGATTCCCATTCCCCAGTACCCTCTGTACTCTGCTTCGATCCACGTGTTCGGAGGCCAGTACGAGCCCTACTATCTGAACGAGAAGAACGACTGGGCTCTGGACCCCGCTGACATTGAGAAATCGATCAAGAGCGCCCGCGCGAAGGGTCTGACGGTGAAGGCGATCGCTGCGGTGAACCCGGGCAACCCGACCGGCAAGTGCTTCACTCGCGAGAACATCGAGGACATTTGCAAGATCTGCGCGCGCGAGAACATCGTGATCATGGCCGATGAGGTGTACCAGGAGAACATCTACCGCCCTGGCGACAAGTTCATCTCCTTCAAGAAGGTGATGTGCGAGCTGGGTCTGAACTGCCAGATGATGTCCTTCCACTCGACCTCGAAGGGATACTGGGGTGAGTGCGGACGCCGCGGTGGCTACGTGGAGCTGGTTAACTTCCCCGATGACGTGCGCGCCGAGCTGTACAAGCTGCTGTCGATCTGCTGCTGCTCGAACGTGGACGGCCAGTACACCATGGACGTGATGATCAACCCGCCCAAGCCCGGTGATGCCTCCTACGAGCTCTTCCAGAAGGAGAAGAACGGCATTCTGGAGTCGCTGAAGGTGCGCGCGAAGAAGCTGTCGACCGCTCTGAACAAGCTGGACGGCGTGTCCTGCCTGTCGGTGGACGGTGCTCTCTACACCTACTTCCGCCTCACCATGCCTCCCAAGGCCATCGAGGAGGCCAAGAAGCAGGGAAGAGCCGCCGATGCCATGTACTGCATGGATCTCCTCAACGAGGCCGGAGTCGTGTGCGTGCCTGGAAGTGGATTCGGACAGGAGGAGGGAACTTACCATGTCCGCTCCACCATTCTGCCCCCTGAAAACGAGATCGATCAGGTCGTGGAGAGAATGAACAACTTCCACAAGAAGTGGATGGCTAGATACCAATAAATAAGAAGAAAAGAAAGACGGCGATGATGAAAGTTGTTGTTGCAGATTAACGTGGATTGTTTGTTGATATACACATACACAAATAGTAGTACACACAATCAATCAAACAAATGAAAGAGAATCTGGACGCAAAGGACGATTCTTTCCTCGGGTGTTCTATTCTTTTAGTTATCTTTCGTGATGGAAAGCGTCCCTCAGTCGCCCTATCAAAATACAGAGCTGGAAGATATGTTGCTGGACGGAATCACCAGCCTGAAGGAATCTGAGAGGACGAACGCAATCCTCGAATTTTCCCGCTGGATAAAGAGCGAGTACATCAAATGCAACGGAAAGGATACGGATCACATCAAGGAGCACGTTTTCCGAATTCTTCAAATCTACATTACTGGTAAGACCGAGACTTCAATTTTAGGATTCATTGAATTGGTGGATATTGTGTTACACTTTCCCGATATTTTCTCAGACCGTTTTCAATTGGTTTGGTCCTCTCTGGACTCTGTTATTTGTGGAATCATCACCGAAAGCATGATCGAGCCAATCGTTCGAGTTTGTGTTCCTTCTCTCCTCAACTCCAGACATTTAGGCGCTTATTGTTATTCAAACAGTCGAGCATTCCCGAAATCCTCGAAAAGACCATCACAATCTGTGACAGTCGCATCAAGGGTTCGATCTCCTCCTACGAAGTGGTCCTCTCTCTGCAACTCTACGCAGTGATGCTGGACACTTCCTACACCCAATTTCCCACCCGCAAAATCCTAAAGCTCCCCTCTCGCATCCTCCCCTTCCTCATCAGCACCGATGAGCCCCAATTTTTAAGCGCCTGCGACGTTCTGCACAGCCTCTTCCAATCTCTCCAGCTCTACCCCAACAACGACCTCATTACCTCGCTCTGCGACAAGTTTATGGACCTCTTCAAGCCGTTTTTGTCCGAGTTTCTGTCCGACCTCCCTTCCTCCGGCCAATCTTCGCAGTATCTGCGCATCCAGTTGAACGATCCGGACGGTCGCGACTGCGTCGCTCGCGGCTGCTTCCGCACGCTGAATCTTCTAATCGAGTTCTTCAAGGATTCGATGCGGAAGTACTCGAAACAACTCGTTCGATTGGTCATGTGCTGCATTTCCTATCGCGAACCCACCGTGCAATCCGACGTTCTATGTTCGTTTTCTCGCTTGTTTCGCTCTCTAGACCTGCTTCTCCTCATCACTCGAATCGACAGCGAGCAGTTCTCAACGCTGTGGGATCCCCTATTTTTGATGACGTGCAGAATGCCGGTGTTGGTGTCGCATATTTGTCCGAAATGCACGTCGAAATATGCGCTGATTCTGTTCGGCGTGTTGGCGCGCAGCTATCCGGTGCAGAGTTTTGGCTTCGTCAATGGCGTGATTCCGCTGATCGAGGAACTCATTCGCGCAGAAACGTGGAAACCATCGTGGAAACCATCGTGGCTCTTGAGAAATAGCGGGAA